GACCGCCTCGCGCCCTTCACGAGCAAGCGCGGCCCGCGCAGCCACAACCGCGGCCGCGGCGCGCGGCGCCCCGGCGTGCTCACCTCCAACAGGAAGTTCCTGCTGCTGCGCGCCATGGTGCCGCACTTCGTCGTGCCCGACCTGGCCGCCTGCGAGCTCAAGGCCTACGTGTCGTACCGCGCGGCCGCCGGCGCCGAGCCGCCGCTCACGGCCCGCCGCCTCTTCGACGAGGTGGTGGCGCCGCGCATCGAGCGCGACGTGCGCGACGGCGTCTTCCAGGAGGGCGAGCTGCGGCGCTACGGCTTCGAGGAGACGCAGGAGGGGAAGCTCTTCCGGCTCTTCCCCAAGAACTACGTGCGCTGAGGCGCTTCCCGCCGCCGCGGGCGCCGTCCGGGCCCGCTGGTGCCCCGCGCGGGGCCGTGGACTCGCGTGGGCCGCGCTCCTCGCTCGGGCCGCGTGTCGGGTCCTTGTGCTCGTGTCCCCCAGCGCCGTGTGCGACAATAAACATCCGTTCCTGTCCGCAGCGTCCTCGGAGTTGTGTGGGGCCGGGCCGGGGGGACAGCGGGGACAGCAGCCACAAAGGGCGCTTTTCACGAGCGCCTAAGTGAGTTTGTATTAACTCTGGCTAAAACAAAGTGCAACATGAATGAGACCTCTAACACGCGAAATGAAGCCCTTAGCCTAGGGTCTCTTCTTGAGGGGAGCTTCGCTTGCCTGGAAATGCTGTGCTACTTCATCTTCCGTGGCAGTGCGGGGGGTTCCCTTTAAAACAGGGTCCCAGACAAGGCCACCTAGGTGTACAGTTCCGTGGACAGGTAAGGAAGCGCCGTGGTCGGCTTCAACACCCCAACACCATTGCACAAGGACCCCGCTGTGCTTCTCTATACAAAAAAGGCCCCAAAATGTACATTGTAAGGACAAGCTCAGCAGCAATCCAACCAGCAGGGGAAGAATTTTTACAAAGAAAAACCACCAAGCAAGATAAATGTCATAATGATTTTATTTTAGAAACCTCCAAAAATAGGGTGTTCTTTTTAAAACCCAAACTCTTGTTGACAGTACTAATAGGAATCTTCATGTAACAGTGCTCAAGAAATTTCCAAAATACACATTCACCCTTGAGAAGCAGGTGTCAGAGCAGCAAGACCCCCACCTGCTGCACCCCGTTTTCCATGGGACACTGTTACACACACGTGTTGCTGGTGTTTCTTTCCCTCCAGGCAACTAATCCTCCAGGACTTTCAAAATAAAAACAAGCTACAAGAAAATCAGGTAGTTGAAGCATTTTTGTTGTTGTTTCTAGGAAGGTAATGAAGAACATGGAGAAAATGTTCCAAAAGGAGGGTGTTTTGCTGATGTTTCACAGTAAGAAAGGAAAGGTAGTAACTGTGAGAAATTCTGCAGCTCTTCCCTGAGGTAGTTAGGGCAATGTTGTCAAGATTTTGGTTTCTGTGTGTGTTTATTATGAACTTAAAAGGTGTCAGGAAACACTGGCTAAACTTTGGGGAGGTTTTGCTCTTAAAGCTGTTCACCTTAAAAAACAATCTTGACTTGGGACCTAAATTTTTGTTTCACTATGGATAGCAGAAAATAGGAGATTGAAACCAGGAGGGATTGGGGTTTTTTTAGTAAAGAGTGGCACTAAAAAAGAGAGCAGGACTTACTACAGAATTTATACCTGCTAAACCAAGTTGTGCTTAGTTTGGAGAGTGACAAAACCAGGTGGCACCCAGGTGATAAACCTGGTGTAAAACCAGACACAGCAGAACCCCTACAGGAAAGGCTCCAAACGTCCTGTAGCTGAACTGCAGTCTCTCGTTTCTGTCAGTTGGGATTTCCTTCTTAAAAAAAAGGATTTCTCTCTACTAAAGATCACTACAAGCAAATTCCACTGTCAGCATCTTGACTGTCCTCGACCGACATCTATCATCGACTGTCCTCGACAGACATCTTCTCAAAGTGCACACTAGCTTGCAGATTGCACAGCGAGCTACATACACGTCTAAACTTCCTTGAGGAAAAAAAAAATCAGGAAAATCTGATTGCAGATTTGTCTCTATGTAGTGTTGCCGGCAGGTTTTGTTTGGCTTGATTTGGAAGGAGGAAAACAAGCTTAGTAGATCAACTGTACAAATGCAAATCAGCCCTGAAGGGATTCAAGGGCTATGTACAAACAAGGAGCCTCCGAGAGGAACATCCTGCCCTAGTTCACACCGGTACCTTCAGGGAAGCTAGGGAATCATGTCGGTGCTTGACCATGCTCCTCAGGAAAGGCTTCTCTCAGTGCTGAAAATAAAACACCATGAAATTCCAACTGGATCAGCCCTTAAGGACTCACAAACTCAGCAGTAACACCTGCAAAAATCCCTAAGGAAATGGGACGGGACATAAGCTATAGCTGTTGCTCTCAGTGGAGGAACTTTCATATCCCTTCCCAGGGGGACTGTCAGGGCCAACCTGTGAAGGGGCTAAAGTGAAACTGCGTTCCCTGACTGAGCTCTAGTACTTGACGGCTCTGAAGGGGGAACCAGGCTCATCTCCCACTTCCAGACATGCAGGATATTATCATAGAATGAGCAAGTTGCTACAATGCTCATTTCTTTTGACCCGTCTAACGGCGCGGCTAAGTCCCCGCCTCTGTCCAAGCCCGCTCCGTTGGTTTTTGTAACCCGGTAGCCCGAAGCAGCTGGTGAGGCGGGACCTCCCTCCAGGGAGCCCCCAGCCACGTCTGGGCTCCTCTTTGCACCCAGGCCCCGCGTCGGGTCCGGATCCCCAGGCGACACAGCGCCCTGCCCCGGGTCAGGGCCTCCCCCTGCTCTCAGTGGCGAGGCAGGGTCTTCGCTCTCCTCATCCAATACCACATCAAAAGTAGCGGTGGGAGACTCATAAATTATCTTCAGGTTTTGGATGTGCACATTCAGTCTCTCGTCTCCTTCCTCCGGCCTTGGCAGCAGCTCCCGGGCAGGCCGGGCCGCAGCAGCCACGTCCTGCAGCGCAGCCAGGGAATCCCGCGGGCAGAGCCTCGACCAGTCAGCTCCGTAGGCCAGGGAGTTGTGCAGGACGTAGGATGTCAGGATGACACATTCCTCCGTGTTTTCCGCTTTAAGAAAACGCAGTAAGCAGCTATCAGCAGCTATCAGCAGCTATCAGCAGCTATCAGCAGCTATCAGCAGCTATCAGCAGCTATCAGCAGCTATCAGCAGCTATCAAGCTGTGCAAGAGCCCGTCACAGACAGCTAACGAGCCATCTCGTACAGCCTGGGCCGTATGGGCAGAGTTCCCCTATCCCGTCACTTCTGCACAGGTAAAAACATCCAGACAGTTTTCAGCCACCCCTCACTAGCCCTGACTTTTCCCTGTTCAGCAAGCAAACGGATAAAGAGGGTTTAATGTGGGGGGGCGGTTTAGGAAGCTCTTTATTCAGAATACCTAAAAAGTCTCAGACCATCCAGTGATCTCCACTGAGCCATAAATACAACTGCAGAGATTGCTAGACCGCTCGTTATTGATAAGTGACAGGTGTGCCCTTCCCAGAGGCTTGGAGCATTTCACTCTGATATCAAGGGGGCCGCTGAGCAGATCAAGAAAACCAAGGCACAAACACTGCTACCAAGAAGGGCTGCTGCATTATCACAGTCCACCCATTCTCCTATTCCTTGTGCAGAAAAAAATATATATATCCTCCAATCACAGGCTGTGAGTTTGCCCCAGGCCTGGAGAAACCCGGAACGCAGCCATTTGATAAAGGGTTGTTTGCAATGCAACATAGGTGACTATTTATCAGGGAAATGCGTTGCAGTTCACATAAGGGCCTGCTCGAGCTATGCTAGATTCACCAGACTGTGCAGCACTGGTTTTCGGCAGTGACTACCAGTTCATTGGGGCATCCCTGCCATTCCAAAGTGCTTCTTTGTACCGTTCACCAAGGTGAATACAAGCCAGGATGGCCATGTCAACAGCTAATGCCTTCACAGCAAAGCAAAGAGGCTTTTTTCTTGTGAAGGATGGTTACCAGGCATTTACACACAAATAATAATAGCGTATTTACTCCACTAGCAACATTACTCCTAGGAAGATACAGGAGGTACCTCCAGCAGGGATGAATTTCTCTATTACCACTATCTCGGTCTTGCTAGCAAGTGCAGAGCTGGAGCTTACCCGTTAAGCTGGGAGCAGGAAAGCCGAGCAGCACAGAGCACCTCTGCTCGGCCGAGGACTCACCCATGCTTCCCCGGCAGTCAAGGATTTTGAATCCACTCTGCATGCAGGCTGCCAGCAGCACAAACTCGCGGGTCGGGTGCCACTTCAGCCTCCAGACTCCACCCTCGACATGGGTGTCTGCCAACGGCTGCTTCATGTTCCTGGTGTCCCACAGCAGCACGTGCTCGTCGTAGCTGGAGACACACCACAAGTAAGCTGCAAAGCTGACTCAGGGCATCAAGCATGGAAGAAAATGAAGAAATATCACATGGTCTTCACCAGGGTAGATTTCTCAAGAGAGCACACCTCGAGAAACAGTTGTTCACTCAAAGTAAGAGAGGAGGCTGATCACGTTCTGGTGAAGAGCAGCCAAAGAGGATTTACCTGCCTGTAGCCAGCAGATTCTCCCGGTGGGGACTGCACTGAATGCTGCACACACCCATTGAATGTCTGTGGAAGAACGACATTGGAGGGGAAGGAGAGGGATATAGCTTGAGAAAGGATCCTTCCTGGAAGGTGGAGCCCACACTTCTGCATCAAAGCCTCTCAGGCCAGGAAAGGGAAGGGAACTCAAATGCACTTTGAATACCCAGGTAGAATCACATCTACACAGCCCAACCACCTTTCCAGAGCCGACCTCCCAGCCATGCAGCCCCTTTACAAGCTTATCTCCTAGGAGTGATTCTGTACCATAAACTGCTATTCAGAACCATTGGAGTTTCAGCAAAACAACTGCACTCCCAGCAGACTTCACCCTCAACTGTACTAACTCCATAGCAATAAGCCTCGCTGTATTCTAAGGTTGCACACCAAATCATACCAGCTACCAAAGGGAGGGAGGTTACTTCAAGTGAATAAACACTGGAAAACAAGATATTTTCTAAAACACCCGCCACAATCTAAAATGTTCAACACCAACAAGAATCCCCAAAGTGTGAATCAGAAGCCTTTTACAAGGAGGCTACGAGCATCTCCCTGCTTGGTGTGAGCAGCTGCTGGGTTCTGCGCTCTTCCTTTACAGCAGCCTGGGCTGCAGCTGCAGACCCCGCTGCAGACCCCGCTGCAGACCCCGCTTACCTCCTGCTGGTGAAGACGGGCGACTCAGGACTGCACCTGGTGTCCCAGCCCTTGAGCAGGCTGTCATCTCCCCCTGCACAGAGACACAGTGTGGGTGCCCTGCTCGCCGCCCAGCCGGGCAGGACTCCTCAGAGCGGCGCGCACGGACAGCTCGGCAGCGATGCTCAGCCCCAGCGCTCACGGGCTGCCAGGCACCAGAGCTCACTGCTTTTCAGTGACTGAAGGACACTGATGCTCTAGATGCTACAGAGGTTTCCCCCCTAAGGCACAAAGTGGGACGCAGGAAGAATTCCAGCTGAGGCAAAGCAGTTAAAAAGAGCTACCCTGGAATCTCAGAGCCTTCAGGAGAGTTGCATTAACAACAGCCCTTCTTTGCTAAGCAAAAGCTTTTGGAACAAAGCAAGGCTGAAATCTAGAGGCTCTCTGACTCCCAGTGCTTCTCAGCAAACCCCAAGACATCATCATCCTTTCTCCCATTAGTCAGCCAAAACAAGCAGGGCAAAAGATGCTTCTTTTCCAAATTAACTCAAACAATTCCCACAATCGAGAGGACTTTTACCCGTATCAGGGGCAAACATCAGGGGCAACACTCATAAAAGGTGTGAAGCAAGCAGTATATCCCATCCGGAAAGCAAAATCCCAGGAACAGGTATCCCTAAACAAGCTACTCCCCCTCCCAACCCCACGACTGTGATTCCCAGCATTCACAGACCTGAATATACGATGTCTGTGTCCCAGTAATTGAAAGCTGCAATCCAGGCCTCAAAGCTGTGAGCCTCCCACTGGCTCAGGACATGCACAGAGGGAGCAGATTCATCGATGGAGAACAGATTCAGCTTCCCTCCTGAATCACTGCTGATCACTCTCAGAGGACGTCCACTGCAGCGGAATACAGAGGAAACATGAGAAATTACTAAAAACTCATGCCCTAAGAATTTGCTAGCGTAAAAAACAGCCAAAATGTGAAAAATAACATAATGTATTATTGTATACCTTTGACTCAAATAAACGTTGAGAGAACCTGGGGGCAAAGTGGAAGCAACGTGTGCATCTACAGAGTCCTTTTCAGCTTTAGCCCCTTCTGTCCAAAAATCATCAGCACTAATGGTCCCCATTCACTGATCTCACAGTGCAGGGAGCAGTCAACTCATGTTTGAGCAAAAGCAAAACAAAGACGTGAGTCTTTCTTTCCCCATGATGCATAACTGGCTTCTAACATGCTTGATAGTAAATCAATAAACTCTTTTTAAAGAGGGATATTTTTTCCTCCAGGTCGGACTGGCAAGGATCTCTCAGAGTCTCCTGCCTCTCCTGGAATATGAGGAGAGATTTCATTTCCCCGCTGTCACAGGCCTCTGAAGCACTGGCTGATCCTGAGCTTTCTGCTCTCTTTCTGTACCCAAGGACACTTGCAGTTTCAGGGTGATTTGCTGTAAAGCACTGGCAAAAGTTTTGCCGTTCAGTGCATGGATTTTCTGACTTGACAATCCTGTCTTGAAATTGATACTTGTTTGGTTACCTGCAATTGTAGGTACATGGCTTAGGGCTTCGTTGCACTTCCCCACAGCTACCAACCATAACGAACCTCCTGGATTTAAACACTAGAGAGATGGGGTCACCCCCAGAGCTCTGCATTCCTACACACTACTCCTACAGAGAGGGAAAAGCTGCACGTTGCACACCGAGAAAGCGGCCGTTTGTCCCTGAGGAGACAACGGTGATAGGCTTCAAAGGGACTTTTCGTTATGGCAATTATCATTTATCTTGAAGGACAATGGAAGAAAAAAAAAAAAGAAACTAGAACCACGAGTTCTACCTATTCATTAAACAGCACAGAAACAACCTTCATTAGTAAAAGCACTAAACTACTTGCCCTAAAGCATTAAGGACAGCACTGTCCATTTCTTGACCAGTTGCCGCCCTCATGCTCTGTGCGATATTAAAAAGTGTTTGCACTTAACTCACAGAAAACATATGTCCCAGCCCTTCGCGGTCTGTCTGACAGCCAGTGTGTGAGCATTTGCGAGATGCAGGAACTGATTCCTTCAGCTCCCAACCAATTCTCTCACATTTCTCACGAAACCACCAAGTTTAAACTTCCTACACATGCTACTTCCTCCTAGCAGCTCTTAGAACTTCACACTAAAACTTCAGCAGCTTTTAGAGCAAACTCAGTTGGATCCAGTGGATGAAGCTGCCCCTTGTTCCAGTCTTTGCTTTTACCAAGGGCAACGGGATGGAAGACGTGCTCCTCGTGTCCCTGCCGCTGCTCACTATAGAACCACCTCCCATTTGCTGTTGGTTTAGTCTCTGCTCTTGTTACACTGACCAAGGAGAATGTTCTGGGTCTTTTGTCACGCTTGCTCTAAAAGCAGTAGCTCATAGAGAAACTGTCGAGACAGCTGGGAACAGGAATGTCTTAAACCACATCACTGAAAGCCCAAAGAGTCTATTCACCAAAGTCCTGAAGTTCTGCCTGTAAATGGTGAGCGTGCACACACAGGCACAAACACACACAGAGGCCCAAGAACAAGGGTCCTCTCCCTCGTGCTCACCACTGCTCTCGTCCCGTGGACCAGTCTAAGGACAAGACCAGGCGCTGGGCGCCTACATCGACCCTGAAGCACGGCTCCAACACGCAGCTCTTCTTCTACTGGAAAGAAAAGGAGCAGGTTAAGACTGGGAAGGCGGCAGGTCTCTACCGCTCACACCTCTGGCAGGTGTTTTCCAGAGATGAGATTCATCGATACTACGGAAGAGATTAAATGTTCCGTGACCACATATAGCATCTTAGAACTTGCTGCAGGGCAACTGTTGGCATAGGCAGGACCTCCACCCTTCTGCCTCTTGTCTCCCACCAAACTGCCCTTGAGCTTTACTTCCCCTCAGTGAGCCCTGAAGCATGGGAGAAATGGTCTGGTCACTAAATCCTCCCATAGACTGGCTACTCTTTTCTCCACTCCCTGAAAATGGCTTTCGTGATTAGTCCCCTCGTCATCTAAAAGAATCTCCCCTTTCCCAAACTTTTCCCTGGTTTTAACATTTTTTTCACATTTTGCTATGTCATTTGTTAGTCCATGCTTATTCTCAAGTGAGTTTCCAAAGTTTCTTTCTGCTTCCTTCTGCTCGCCTCATTCCTCTCCTCCCCTCCCCTCCACAGTGCAGGAGCAGGTTCTCAAGGGCCACCATGAAATTTGTGGAATTGATGAAAACTATTGTCAGAAGACAACAGAAAAAAGTATTTAAAAGCTAAGCGCATTGAGAAAGCCATGGAACACATAGAGCAGAGACTCTGACCATTGCTAACGAAGCTGGAGATGCATCAAATCTGGGTTAAAGACAACGTCAAGAGCAGTAGCCATTATGGCCACCTACCTCACTGCCCGTGAGCTGCAGGAACTGCACAGCACCCGTCGAGTCCGCAACACCAACCATGGGGTGTTCTGCAATGGGAAGGTGGCACCTAAAAGAACAGCAGTTACATAAGCGCTGCATATACCTATGTCTTGCATTTAAGAGGAGACCAAAGTCAGAACTAGTCTAGAGTGTGAAGGAAAGGGTACTTGACCAAGAGAAAAATCTTATGAATGAAATGTAAGGTTCTTCATGTTCCCACAAACCTGCACCAAAGGGGAAGATAATAATGGACAGAGGACACCCATGGTCACTGATCACTCACTGATCCTGCGTTCCCTCAAGTAAGCGGAGATCATATCACCAAAACGAGCTGGGTCTTTGCTCACTGGCACAACACAGAAATATTTGCCTCCGACAGGTTGGGGAGTGCAGCCAGCGAACGTGAGGGCTGCAGTTGTTCCAAGAACCCCACGCCTGCACGAAGGTCTCCCGCTAGCGCGAGCCGCCGCTCACTGCGAGCCGCCGTTACCATTTGATGTCGAGGATGGCAGGGGTGTCAATCCTCTGGATCTCCGTCAGCGGGATGCAAGGCTGCTCCTCGTTGTAGTGGTACAGGTAGAGCCGCCCCGTGCGGTCACAGGCCCCGTCGCCTCCACTGGGCTTGGTCTGCATCAACAACGGGGCAAGAGGAGATGGGCTTGAGCAGCGAGTCCCGCTCCTCTTGCTGCCCGAAGCCCAAGTGGTGCCGTGGGTCAGAGCAGCGCATGGGGCCCCTATGGTCAGCGCAGGGCACGGGGCTCAGAATGGGGAATGGGGCTCAGCACAGCACACGGAGCCCTTGTGCTCAGCACAGGGCACGGGGCTCAGTGCAGGGCACGGGGCTCCAGCCCTGCCGGCCCTGCCTTGAGGACCGGAGCCCGCGGGCATGGAGGGGCCAGGGCAGCCGGAGGGGCCGTCGGGAGGCCCCGCGAGCGCGGCGGCCGCCCTCACCGCGGCGGGCGGGCGCAGCTGGTAGGTGCCGCAGGCCAGGATGCTGTGCCAGCCCTCCACGGGGCACCACTCCACGGCGTCGGCGCTGAGCTCCGTGTCCAGCACCTGCAGCGTGCGCGTCCGGCACGGCGCCGCCATGGCGGGGGCCGCCCAGCGGAACTGCTGCCGACTGCTTCCCGGTCAGGGCGGAGCGGCGCCGGAGCGGAGCCGGAGCGGGGCGCGCGCTGCCCGCCTAGGGGAAGCGCCCGGCGCTGAGCCGGCCTGGCGGGGAGGAAGGGGCTGTTGGGGCGGCCGCGGGCAGCGACCCCTGAGGCGAGCGCGGCCGCTGGCCTGGAGGGCCCCGCGCAACTCCCCGCACGGAGCTGCTTCTGCCTCGTTCCAACGGGGCTTCCACCAGGATCCTACCCGTCACCTCCGCGGTGGAAAGGAGCCCATGGCCTTGGGCAGCCCTAAACAACCCCCCTCCCCTGCCCCAGCCTCCAGTCGCCTGCAGGCCAAGGACACCCCGAGGCACCACCCGGGACAGCCCTCTCTTGATTTTCCTCCCAAGCTCTTTTTGGATGCACGGGACCGCCCAGCACCCCGAGGAGACCCTCTTTGCCCTTCTGTGGCGCTTTGTGGCTCCCTCGTAGTCCCATGTGAGATGGAGGGCCAGGGCCACGTGGGGTCGGCAGGTTACAGGCGGCGGCGGTAATAATAATTTAATTATTATTACCCTGAATAACCTCATCAGGGGATGTTGTCACCTCCTGCTTCATCACCCCCACCACCACCACCCCAGCTTACTCCTTAACACACTGGGGGCATCTACTCTGACTTCCCTCCACAAAAAACAGCCCTCCCTTTAACTCTTCCCTGTCTTTTAAGGTGTGTCCATGTGAGGACCTTGCCCTGCATCCCAGGACGGCTTCACTTCTCTATGAGCCTCAAGTGCATTCAGGAAGCTCAGCAGACTGCACCAACCTCATCTCCTTTACGCCCTCACTTGTTGATTCCACTAAGGGAACTCCAAGAGGCTTCTGAAGTACAACCTCCTGGTATAAACCCTGCCCCAACTCCTAAACACCCCAGTATTGACCCAAAGATCCTCTTCTCTATCGTGTCTATGAATGAGCTTGGTACTGGGCTGGCCCGGCGGTGGTCGGGCGCATTTGCCCTGGATGGTGGAGATGGAAACACCTCTCACACAGGGAGAGGCTGCGCAGTTGGGAGCTCACCTTCATCACCCTGAGGTCCCCCCGGAGCTCGCTGGTGGCTCAGTCTGGTCCCGACAACTCCTTACTGCTCCTTTTGCCTGCGGTTTAGTCCCTCCAGAGCACATCTCAGCTTTACGCAGATTCCCCCCGTGAGCTTTCCATATGGAAGTGTTCCTGCACGCAGACTCCTGCAGCTCTTCCGCAGCGAGCACATATGCAAACAGCCACTTTTCTCTTTTCTCCTGCTGGGGCTCCATCTTCAGGTCAATTTTTCTTTTTCTTTTCCTTTTTTTTTTTTTTTGCTGTGCATCAGCCCTCCGGCAGTCACACTGCTCCCATTCCAAAATTATTCATGAGTTTTACCGCTTGCACTTTCCTCATAGTGCTTTTTTTCCTTTGCATTATCATTTTACATTTAGCTTGCTGAATCTTAGTCTTTCCCTCTCATGCATGTGGACACAAGGGCAGCTTTTAAAGGATTTCTTCTCACTCTCGTAGCAGCTCTCAAGTCGCCCAGGCCTCCTTTGGTCCTCTCTCAAGTCTGGCTGGAGAGTGCCATACATTTGCTCCTGATCCCACTGTGGTATCTTAAATTGTGTCCAAGCCTCTTGCAAATATTTCTGTTACCCTTACGGTTCCTCTCTTACGAATAAGTCACCATCTCAGGGAGAAGCTTGAAAGTGTAATCCTGGGAGTATAATAAAGGCTCCCATTCCAAAAGGTAAATGCAAAAATAGCATATCCTGCAAAAATAACATATCATTTAAGATCTTGTGTTCCTGATTCAGTCCTCACTTCCATCAGTGGGAATTGTGACTTGTGACTGTTCCCGCTCGGGAGTCCTGCTGTACCTGGCCATGTTGATGAGCATTTGCAGGGAAAGTGACAACATTTCACGGGGCATTTTCCAAATTCCGCAAACCCCTTCGGAAGCATGGAATACCCCTGCGGCGCTCCATGCTTCAAGGAGCCCAAGGCAAGACTCCTTGAAGTCTGCTGGAAGCATCCTGGATGGAGCGCAGCAACGTGCAGTCCCTCAGAGTCCCCCGAAGTCCCGGCCTGCCGACAAGCTTCGGAGGTGCCAGGCAGGACCCACGGGCACAGGGTGGGACGCCTGAAGTGGGAGAACACAAGGAGCAGGAGGAGACCAGGAACTTGGGAACTGCTTTAGAACCAGCAGTCCCAGGGGCAATTACAGCACCAACCTACGCAGGAACTACTGAACTCCAGACTGAGCTTACTACAGGCGCTGGGAACGCAGCATTTCATAGTTTGCTTTTTTTTTTTTTTCTCCCAGAGTTCTGTAATTTTGAGGCAGCCACATCAAAACTGCACAGAGCACCGGAGAAACAGGCACGTCAGGGACTTGATGCACTCTGCCATTACCGTTCCCTGCTCCTTTCCAAGCTATCCCTGTCCAAGTGATCCCTAGGCTGAGGGTGCTTTTTTTGAGTGCTGTGAAGTGTACGACAGTGCCAGCTCTATGCACATCATGAGGTCCTGCTTTTAGCTAAACTCCACTCAGAAATCACAAAGGCTTTTTTTTTTTTTTTTTTTTTAATCCTACCCCTCCTACCTCCAGCCTATGCAGTTTTACCTTTATTTGCATTGAAATTCATCCAGCACTGTCACCCAGTCTTTCAGGATCAACATCATTTGCAGGTCCTCCCTTTTCTCTTACTACTACTTCTCCGATAACACCATACAGCTGAGCAATTTTAATTTCCCACTTAACTCATCACACCTTTTCCAGCTCATTTACCAGTGTTTTAAATCCTTGCATACTCCTTACATCCGCTGCTCTTGGGAGTAATGTTCCTCTGAGTTTCCTATTGACTTGTCTGTATGAAGATACCCACAGCGGCCTCGTTTCTTCTAGGATATTTATGAGGGACCTTTTGAGCCTTCTGGAAATGCTACAGGTTGCATCAAGCAGAGCTGCCGTGTTCTCGTGTAACGGGCGTCTTTGAAGGACTCCCATGAAGCAAAGTAGCTTGATAGCCCTTACAAAAAGGGAATTGTCTCTTCCATAAAGAGCTCTTCTGCCAGTCACTGACCACAAAAAATCCTGCACTAATTAGCAAGAAAATTAAAACAAAAAAGAAAAAAAAAAGGTTCTTGAGACAGCAAGCTGCATGCTGCAGTGCCCAGGCACTTCGCAAAGCTCAGAGTCCCAGTAGTTGAGTCAAAGGTAACATAAAGTTAGGACCTGTGTTACTTCCTTCGTGAGTCCTTTCAGGATGCCCAAGCGATATCCTCACTTCCCTCATCCCTTCCTGCCCCACTCACGGGGATCCGTGGTACCCTAAACACCCATCGCCCCTTTTTGCAGATCCTTTAGCGTGAGGACCACCCTTCATTCCATGCTCTGGAGAAGGTTTCCTGTCAGGACCTCGTCATCACGTTTTGTTTCTCCATGCAGCAACATCACCAACATCATCAGGGCCATCCCAGCCCTACTCACTGTTGTTGAAGCATTTCAACATGCTCGGGCTCCAGCTGCTAACAAGGATTACTGGTAGTACATGGAAAACCGGCATGGCACTGCTTTTTTAAAAGGGCAGGTAGGGGAGCCAATATTCCCACCCTTTCCAGAGGAATACCTTGAATACAAATTTTCCTTAACACCCTGTTTTTCATTCTCAAATAATTGTACAGTTCCTTTAAAGCAAATGAATCAAAGGTCTCTTCAAAAGTCACCCACTGTAGGACAACCGCATTGAGCCTGGCTTTGGTCCTTCCTCGTTGCTTCAGGCTGCCTGAAGACAAAACTTACAAGCAGCACCACGAATCTAGAGTCACTACTTCACGTGCCCAGCAAGAGGCCCTCCAGCGGGGAGCTCCCATCTTCTCCATGATTTCCGAGGAGACTTAAAGCCCAGCTACAAAAAGCTGCCTAAAGTGTCTACTACTACGCTAGTTACTGAGAACTTCCTGGGCAGGTATTGGGAACACATCGGAGTTCCTGGACGGGGATTTTCTACCAAGTTGGATACAAGGGCAGTGTTGCACCATGAAGTGGCAGAGTGACTCCCGATTGGGAATGAACACGTTACAGCTTCTCCAAGACTCTGTACACAGCTATTTCACTAAGTACTCACAAAAGGCTCCATTCGGCAGTTCACATCCTTCTACTGTGAAGTGAACCTACACAACCTACCACTAAATTATCCATTTAATTCTTCGGGAAACTCATATTCCTTAAATTTCCAAAGGAAAAAAATAAAGCTGATTATCCATTATAAAATGTTTGAAAAGAAAAGCAGGCTTGTAGTCTGCAAGCCAAATTCTCCTCTCGTTTTACTTTATAAAGAATCAGAAAATGCTTTTCAGATTGATGGTATTTACGTGAATAAATAACTCAAATTACAAAATATGAGATTATTTAAACATGTCTGCATATCACTACAGTATTTCAATGCTCACAGGGAGGCCACGAGGGCCACCACATCCACACACAGCCGACTACCCGAGCTTCCCTAAAACTACGTTTCAAAGCCGGAAAGCCGATCCCGCTCGCTAAAGACACCGGCTGGTGCACGTCGGGCCTCCAGCAGCCCTTCTCCGCAGGAGGCGACGCAGCGGCTCGAGGAGACGCCCGGATCCCAGGTGGCCCCTTGCACCGTTCCAGTTGCTGGTACGGGGGCTCCTCCCGACTAGGTACTTCCAACAGCCAAGCGTGGCTGTGCCCTGAAAGCAGCTGGAAGGGAACGTGAGAAAACTAGAAAGCAGACAGCGATTCATTCCAACCTTTACTTTGTTTGCCTTTTTTTTTTTTTTTTTTTTTTTAAAGGTGACTTCCGTGCACAATTCTCCAGAGCAAGTGCTGATGTCACATCTTCCCTCCTGGCCCTGCCGCAGCCACGGATACTTTTAGCCACATGGGAGGAAAAGCTTTTGCTACATGACAGGTTGTGTTTGTGGGTTTTTTTTTTTTTTTGT